ATAACATCTTTTTCTGTTAGCGATTATCAGGAGCTTAAAACTGTTTTAAACAAATTAAGCTCTTCCTTACATGATTTTAATCATGTTTCTTCTTAACTTTTTGGGATGTTTGTTTGATCATGTGTAAACCGCTCTCTGTCTCTGTGCTTTTACAGAAATTCTGACATTTAAATTCATATCTAATATCAAACAAATTATCTGAGAAATTCCATTGAGCTTTTTTTATTCTAACCATAGTATGGAAACAGCATTGGTCCATATGGTGAAAGACCTCAGGTTTAGTGCTGATGCACAATATGCTAATCAATACTTTATTTTATTAAATTAACTGTGCTGATGATGGAAATCTATGTAATGGCTGGGAGTGACCAAGAGAAATCAGAAACCAAACTTCTCTTCAAACTGGCTCATATGATATCAACTTTTTAAAACAGAAAATTACTGCTACTTTTTACTATATTATGTTTGTTTGCATCCATACTAATCATACATGATTTTTCACAGGTTATGCATCCCTCCAGCCATGACTCTCAAGACTCTCTGGGTGAACATGTGACATCAAGGTCCCCAGGTTCCACCTATTACAGATCAGCTTCCCCTGACTATTGATGTTTTAACCTGTTTTATGTATCATGTGATTATATCCAGTTAGTTATTAAGCCTGGGCTTTAGGCTAGGTTAGTTACAAGGTATTGCTTCTTTCGTACAGCTGTTGAGAATTGTTGTCCATGTTCTTGTTTAACTCTTTGTGACCAATTGTTTGTATTATTTTGGTTGCCTGGATTTAACTTTGTTATGACTTTGTTATAACTTTTGTTTATTGTTGGCTCATTTTGGAACTGACCTTCGCCTGTTTTTCAACTTCGATTGTGGATTTTGGACAAACTAGTAAAGCCTCTTGTATATTTTACAATTAAGTCTGTCACATTACATCACAAGTAAAACACACTTATTTCCACGATTTTAAGAAGGTTTTAAACAATGTGCTTAGACACTTAGTTACAGTTAAACACTGTATATACAACCCCATTTCCAAAAAAGTTGTGGCGCTGTGCAGGATGTAAATAAAAATATTACATATCAAATGTTGAAACTGAGAAATTTTATTGTTTTTTGAAAAATATAAGCCCATTTTGAATTTGATGCCAACAACACGTTCCAAAAAAGTTGGGACAAGGGCATGTTTACCACTGTGTTTCATCACCTATTCTTTTAGCAACACTCTGAAAGTGTTTGGGAGCTGAGGAGACAGACTACTGTAGTTTTGAAAGTGAAATGTTCTCATTCTGGTTTGATATAGGATTTCAGCTTGGGGGCTCATTTGTCATATTTTTCATTTCATAATGTGCCAAATGTTTTCAGTGATGACAGGTCTGGACTGCAGGCAGGCACCTGGACTCTTAATACAGAGCCATGCTGTTGTGATACATGCAAAATGTGGTTTGGCATTGTCTTGCTGAAATAGGCAAGGCCTTCACAGAAAGAGACATCATCTGGATGGCAGCATATGTTGCCCAAACATGTATATGTATATATATATATATATATATATATATATATATATATATATATATATCATTCAGCATTAATGCCTTCACAGATGTGCACATCACCCATGCCATGTGCACTAATGGACACCTACACCATCATGAATACTATCTTTTGAACTGTACGCTGATAACAAGCTGAGTGGTCGTTAGCCTAGAGGACACACTGTCCATGATTTCCCAAAAAAAAAAAAAAAATTCAATGTTGATTTGTCCAACCACAGGACACTTTTTCACTTCCCCTCAGTCCATTTAAAATGAGCTCAGGCCCAGAGAAGGTGGCAGCATTGCTGGATTCTGTTTATATATGGTTTCTTTTTTGTGTTTTAGAGTTTTAACTTGCATTTGTGGATGCAGTGATGAACTGTTTTCACAGACAGTGGTTTTCAGAAGTGTTGTTCCTGAGCCCATGCAGTTTCCTCTACAGAAACGTCTGCTTTTAATGCAGTGCCCCCTGAGGGCCCAAAGATCATGGCCAGCAAATACTGGTTTTTGGCCTTGTCCCTTGCATACAGAGATTTCTCCAGAATCTCTGAATCTTTTAATGATATTATGTACTGTAGATGATGAAAAGCAAAAGTTCTTTGCTATTTTATATTGAGAAACGTTATTTTTGAATTGTTGCACTATTTGATTGTGCAGTCTTTCACAGAGTGTTGAACCCCTCCTCATCTTTACTTCTGAAAGACTCAGCCTCTCTGGCTGCCATATGTGCCATATTATTGAGCTTTAACTACAGAGGAAATATCACTAATCAGTCATACAAAGGTAAGACATATGAAAAAGGGTTTCCTTTAACTACATCTATCAAAAAATGTTATTATTGTGTAATGTGTTCATTATAGAGTGTTAAGGTTGCTAAAAGGGTTGGATAGAGCAGAAAAGCTAAATGAATGTGCAGACTTAGCAAACTTGTCCTTAATGTGCCATGTATCTATCAGTGTTAACACAGCCATTGCTAAGCAGAGCTGTAGTCAAGGCTACCTTTGTTAAGTCCAAGTCCTCTTCAAGACCAACATTAATTAGTCTTTATATCCTTCCAGTACAAAAAATATAAAGAAAGGATTCTCTTTCCAATAAATAAATAAATAAATAAACACAAAAATCACTCAAATCAAATTCAAATCATAACAAAATATCTCCTCCTCTACTTAAACAGAAATGCTGTTTGCATAATGAATCCAACCAATTCCCTTTCTTAACAAATTTAACAAATGGCCACTCTAAATGAACCTAACCACTGCCCACTAAAATTAATCCAACCAATGCCCATTCCATATAATATCCTGAAAATGTGATTAAAACAGTCTGTTTCTATCTTGATGGCTTTATTAAGTAAATTAATTTACTCTTCGGTGTTAAGTAATACTTGTTCATTAAGTTTGGAATCAAAATTATATTGTGATTACAATCTGATAAAGATAGAAATCAAACTAAAGCCTAAAAACTAGTAAAACAAACTTCCAATCAATAATGCCACCCATCTGACATCAAGAAATCTTCCTCTCTTTTTACCTGCTTGGGTCAGCTGCCTCCTGTTTTAACGGACTAGTGGTAGAAATAGTTCACCTTTGTGCAATAAATTACAAACACTGTTAGCTAGCTTGCTAGATGCTATGGTGTGCCTTTGAGAACATTTATCAACAGTCAGTGAGCGACACAATTGACTAAACATCATAGTTATGCAAGGCTGTCAAATTCAGCAAAGACCCAATTACTCTGAACAGGTCTACTGCATGAACAAATGTTGATTTAGCTTTGTTAGATGTGTCAGCTGTACCTGGCTACACAAACTCTCTGTGACAGAATGCTTTTAATTACATCAGATTTAGTTACATCTGCCCATTATGGTATAACAGAATTTAAATACTATTTACCTAGTTACAACATCACAAAATAGCATGAACAAAGCAACCAATACTTACATGCAAGTATGTAACTGTTTACAGGTCATTTCTCACTGTGGTTCATCAAAGCGAATAGTTAAATGGATTTCACAGGTTTATAAGAAATTTACATTTCTATCAAATTACAGCACCAGAGCTTAGTTCTGTTTACCTTGAGCCAAAGGTGCTGAAGTTCTGCTCTGGTCCAGTTTAACACCTGAGCTGCCTGAGCACGAGTGTTGATGGTTAAATGGTAATCAGACCAAGATCAGAAAATAAATTTGCCAAGACCGATGGTTGAGACCATGACTAGTCCGAGTACAAGAGTCTTAGACAATAAAAACTTCTCAAGTTCTGACTTGAGTCAGACTCAGATTTACATGAAAAAGTAATTAATTAATCATGTGTTTGTAAAAGTTTGATAACATTTGGCTTAGTGCATAGAAATAATGTAACTAATGAGTTTTGTATCTTTAGTACATTATAAAGAATTAGTAAGTACTTTACTTTAGAAAGTACAACAACTTTAGAAATGACAACAAGAACACAAAGTGTGATAGGAATTTCCACTCCAGTGGAGCTTTGTTTGTCAGCAGTCACACACACACACACACACACACACCTGAAATGTAGCGAGCTAGGTTCACAAGAATGACAGAGAAAATTACACAGCTACCTACAACAGCTTGCACTGCTACAGAAAGAAAGAAAGAAGTTGAAAAGTCACTGAACAAAAAGAGGTTGGATAAAGCAAAAGGTCAAACCAGAGTGAACATTGGGCTTTCCAATCGTGGTGAAACCCAAGGGACTTGAAAGGCCTGGAGAGCAATGCCAAGGCTGCTATTTTTCTGTTAGACCGGTAATTACTGGTTTGTTTTGTTTATGGGGGAATTTGTTACTTTTCTGAATTATGTAATTGATGTAGCTAGCTACATACGTACTTACGTATTAGTCCGTTGCTAATGTTAGCTAAGCAGTAGGTGTAAGCTTGCTAGCTATGTTTGTCCTGTATGTAATATGTGTGAGTATATGTTCAACGATGTTTACATTGCAGCTTTGAGCAATCTCTCTCCAGCCTCTCTCTGTAATGACTAGTCAGGTTGTGTGCATTTATGTGTTTTGAAGGAACGGCTTTGGAAGAAAGGGTAAAAGTAGGGGTGGAATTTTTCAGTTGGATCAAAGTAGCTTACAGTTTGCACAACATGTCAGGACATTCATGCCTTGAAATGCTTGTGGCGAGGCTCAGGTAATCACTCTACAGAAAGTAAACAAAGTAGACAAAAATAAAAATCCTCTCTGCTATATACAAATATATTTATATTATACAAGAGATAAGGGATAATCTGTGAAGAATATATACATTTTAACGTGACTTAAGCGACTCAGTGTTAGTTATTTAAAGTGACTTAGTGTTAAAGTGTTATTGTCCATAGCAGTAATATGACATAACAATGCTGACAAAGTGACTGAGTGAAATGGTAATTGGGGAAGAACCCACAGCTTCACAGCTTGTTCAGAAGCCTGACAGCCTGTGGGCAGAAACTGTTCATTACCGGGTTGTTCTAGCCTGTATGCTGTGAAATCTCCTGCCTGATGGCAGGATGGTGAACAGGCTGTGCAGTGGGTGGCTGCTGTCTGACAGGATCTTTTTGATTTTCCTGAGGCAGTGGGCTTGGTAGATGTCCTGTAAGGCTGGTAGTTTGTTGCCTATGATGGCTTCTGCCGTCCTCATCACTCCTTTAAGGGCCTTGCGGTCACAGGCAGTGCAGCTACTGTACCAGACAGTGATGCAGCCTGTGAGGATGCTCTCTATGGTGCATCTGTAGAAGTTGGTGAAGATCTGAGGAATCAGACCAAACTTCCTGAGCCTACACCGGAAGAAGAGACGCTGACGAGCAAATCTCACAATGTGTTGGTGTGGAGGGACCAGGTGAGGTCATCAGTGAGGTGTACGCCAAGAAACTTCACACTGCTGACTCTCTTCACTTCAGCTCCATTGATAAATAGGGGAGAGTGACCACCCCTCTGCAGCTTCCTGTAGTCCATTATCATCTCCTTTGTTTTGCTGATGTTGAGACAAATATTGCTGTCATGGCACCACTCTGACAGAGCGCTAACCTCGTCTCTGTAGGCTGTTTCATCTCTGTCAGTGATGAGGCCTAGGATGGTTGTGTCATCAGTAAACTTGAAGATGATGTTAGATGTGTGTCTGGCTACACAGTCATGTGTATACAGGGAGTACAAGAGGGGGCTGAGCACACATCCCTGGGGAGCCCCTGTGCTTAGAGGCAGTGTGGAAGAGAAGCTGTTCCCAGCTTTCACCACCTGAGGTCTGCTCGTCAGGAAGTCCAGTATCCAGTTGCACAGATGAGAGTTCAAACCCAAGTCTGTGAGCTTAGAAATGAGTTTTGCAGGGATGATTGTGTTGAATGCTGAGCTGTAATCTATGAACAGCATTCTTACATATGTGTTCTTTCTGTCCAGGTGTGTGAGAGCAGTGTGTATTGTTAGTGCAATGGCGTCGTCTGTGGCTCTGTTGGAGCGGTATGCAAATTGGTGAGGGTCCATGGTGGCTGGAAGTGTTGAGCAGATGTGAGCTTTGACCAGCTGCTCGAAGCACTTTATAACTGTTGATGTCAGTGCAACAGGGCAGTAGTCATTCAGGCAGGTGACAGACGATTTCTTGGGGACTGGAACAATTGTGGTTTCCTTAAAGCATGTGGGAATCACTAACAGTCTTAAGGAGAGGTTAAAGATGTCAGTGAAAACCTCAGCCAGCTGGTTGGCACATGCTTTAAGTACACGACTGTGGATGCCATCAGGACCGGGTGCCTTGTGTGGGTTAACAGCCCTGAAGGATCTCACCACCTCAGAAAGGGGAATGGCTAGAGCGCAGCTCTCCTCATCTACTGGGAGTTTCTCAGCAGGTGAGGTGTCAGTTGCCTCAAAACGAGCATAATGAGCATTAAGTTCATCTGCAAGTGAGGAGGAAGAGCCCCTATCACAGATCACACCTTCTTTGTAGTCAGTGATCTGACATTGATTTTTGGTACAATTTCTTCAGTGCATTTATTGATGTAGCTTGTGATGGAGTCAGTGTATTCATAGATGTCTGTGCCAGCTGCATCACGGAACATCTTCCAGTCTATGGATTCAAGGCAGTCCTGAAGTGTGAAGATGGCCTCCTCACTCCATTGATAGACTGTTCTGAGAACTGGTTTCACCTGTTTAAGTCTTTGTATGCGGGCAGAAGAAGAATGGAGGTGTAATCAGATTTGCCGAAGGCAGGGCGGGTGAGGGGTTTGTAACTGTCCTTGAGTGCAGTGTAGCAGTGGTCAAGAGTCTGTTCTCCTTGGGTGGGAAATTTAATGTGTTGGTAGTATTTGGGCAGAACCTTCTTCAAGTTTGCCCTGTTAAAATCCCCAACCACAATAAAAACAGCCTCAGGGTGAATGTTCTCAAGGCCATTAATGGTCTCGTACAAAACCTCCAATGCACATGACTTATCTGCCTGAGGTGGGAGACTGTAGTGAGAATGAGTGAGCTAAAATCCCTGGGCAAAAAAAAGGGTTGAACTTTGACTTTTATGAGTTCAGTGTCTAGAGAGCAGTGACTGGCAAGAACCGCCACATCTGTTCCCCGTCGAGAGTTAACCATAACACATACCCTGCCGCCTCTGCCCTTACCAGAGTCCAGAGTCCAGAGTTCTGTCCTTGCCATAGATGGAGAAGCCGGCCTGTGTGATGCCATTGTTTGGTATTGCCGCAGATAGCCATGTCGAGCTGAAACTTGATCGGTGCGTTCAGCTCGTCTATTTTGTTCTCCAGCGATTGAATGTTTGCGAGCAAAATACTTGGGAGCGGAGGGTTGAAGCACTTTTTCCTTGTCCTGCATAATATCCCGGAGCATCTGCCCCTTATGCTCTTTCTCCTGATCCGCCGGCGTGTGCGTTTTGGTAAACAAAGAGGCAGAAAAGCCACGAAGGGGCAGCCGCACTCATCCGAGCGTGTGTTTGTGTTAAAGTCTGTCTTGAGCGATGATCGGATGTTCAGGGCTTAAATTGCCTAACTTAACATATTATTTCTGGACTGCACAGATGAAGCCATTGTTAACATGGATCCAGAATAATATGTACACGCTGGCTTAATATCGAAAAAAAGCATGTGTCCCGAGCCCCTTCATGTCTTACCATTTTTGGATACCCCTATGAAAGAAATGGGACGATGGACTGCAATCACCCTTAAGGCATGGAAAAAAGTACAATCAGTATTCAGGCTGCCCAAGACAATTTCACTATTAACAAGTATTGGACATATGAAAACCTTTATGCCCAACAGTTTGGATACAGGGTTTAAAACATGGTCAGAGTATGGTTTAACCAAACTGTATCAGATGGACAGAACTAAATGTGGATATAACACAGAGTACTTGGAATGAAATATGCACCAAAGCAACTCTAGTGACAAATTCAAACATCTGGAAAGAATTCAAATGGAAAGTCATCACCAGATATTTCCAAACGCCAGAAATAGTGTCAAAGATGGGTCTAACACATAACAGTTCATGTTGGAGAAATTGTGGGAGCACAAACTGGAAAACATACTCACATATTTCGGCAATGCCCTAAGTTACAGATGTTCTGGAATGAAGTATTTGATGCTCTTAAGGAAGTGTTTCAGAACTAGAGGGAAGGTCTAAGAAATACCTTCTAGGAATATATATATATATATATATATATATATATATATATATATAGTAATGCTAGGTTTACTGGACTTTACTGGATATATTGTAATGCTAGGTTTACTGGACTAAGAAAATAAAACATGCAGCAGCACAGATTCTAACAAAAAACAGCAAGAGCTCATAACCCCTGTTTTGAAAGAACTGTGCTGGTTACCTTTTGGGATTAATTGTAAATTATACTTGTTTATAGTTTGTTTTTTAAAGTTTACTAGTTTTACTTATTTTTTAAGCTTTAAATGGTTTTAAAGTGCCTGTTTATCTCAGAGCTTGTTTGTTTCAATATGTTATCTTAGATCTCCAGATACTGGCCTTCTGCAGATACCTTGCATAAAATACAAAAAACATGGAGAGACTCTTTCAGTTATTATGCTTCTAATTGTGGAACTCAGTTCCACCTGTTATTAGGGCAGTCATCCTTGGAACACATAAAAAATAAAAAACAAAAAAAAAAACTTGAAAATGTATCTCTTTTATTTAGCATTTAATTAAAATTCTACCTGTCTTCTGAATTTATCTTTTTAAATGTGTACATTATTTTCTCTGTTTATTTAAATTATTTTAAATGTATTTATCTTAGTTCATTTGTTTTTCTCTTTTCTGTAAAGCAATGTGAGCAGCTATCTGTATGAAAAGTGCTTAATAAATAAGGTCTGTTATTAGACTTATTAGTTTTATCCTCGTGCCTGCTAAGAAATGGTACTCACAGCTGAATAAGGAAGGCTTGGCTGTAATATTTAATTTACAAATGTTTCACACTCTCTGCACTTACATTAAGCCTCTTATTTTCCTTTTTAACAAAAAAATTAAATTAACCAAGAGTCCAGAGGGGCTGTGCTGAGGAGTACTTATGAGTACACCATAGTCTACTGACAAGGCAAGCACAACGCCATGCTTCAAGCTCAGGCTCATCAAGCCTTAATTTTACATGTAACCAGACCACTAACCAAATCAGAAGATAGACTGCTGATACTATACTATACTCATATTATTTTAGGTGCATGAGTTTGAGAAGAAATGAATAGATTGTGAGGGATGGATATATGCTATGGGGAGCCAGAGTTAAACTTACAGTATGAGGGCAACAGACAGTCAAGATTCTGCATTGTCCCCTTCAGCAATTTTGAGAATGAGATCATATAGCTAGATCATTTGTGTGGTGGCCAAGATGTAGACAAAGAGGTCCAAAAACTCTGCAAAACTCCACTGCTGCCCTGTTACACCCTTGGAAGTGCCCAAGACACCCTGGTCCAGAATCCACGTCAACTATGCTAGCCTTTTTCCTTGGAAAGATGTTCTTTATCACTGTTGATGCTCACTCAAGGTGGACAGACATCTACCCAAGGAACACACTGAATTTGCAAGGTACCACAGAGAAACTAAGGTGAAAGTTTTAGTGTATGTTCAGTCTGTCATAGGTGCTAGTATCAGACAACGGACCTAATTTTACCAGTGTAGAATTTGAGGCTTTTCCAGCATCTTTGAATGACCTAGCCGAGCAAGCTGTTCAGACCTTCAAGGAAGGAACAAAGAAAGAAAATCAAGGGTGACACCCTGGAAACCAGATTGTCACATTTTTGATTTGGCTACTGGATCACATCACATTCCATGACTAGACTGTCTCCAGCAGAGATGATGGCACAACAGGTGAGGTCAACCTTTGAGCTACTAATGCTTGACATAAAGGCCAAAATATAGCAAAACAAAATAAATAAAAAACAGTATCATGATTTAAAAAATAAAATGTGAGCTTTGACTGTGGGCCTAAGCGGGTTCCAACAGCATTCACAAGCACTACTGGCCCACTATCTTATACATTTGTTATTTGAGCTGGATAAAGCTTAAAGTAGCATATGGATTAGATCAGAAGGTACTGTGAGTCCAGGGTCTTATACAGCACAATTTGGTGGACAATGAAAAGACAGAGTCTGCAAGTAGCCTGTCTGGAAAATCTGGAAAAGAGCTTTTTAAAATATTTTATGATGAAAGAAAAGTGATATTTTCAGTAGTAGTGATGTTTGCTATGGCACCTATTTATTCGTATCACAGTAAAAACATGTCCACATGTTCACAGATATACTGGCTTGTTGACTTACATATCCAGTATGTATAATGTTAGAAGTAGTGTGGGTGACTTCTATAATCATTGGCCAGTAGATGTCTCTGTTCTTCAGTAGTAAAAAAGTAAGTGTTCAAGTTGGATGATGCTGGATGAAGCTGAGGCTGATCAAGAAAATTCTTGCTTGGTCTGCTTGCCTGAGTTGATCCCAAGGTGCCAGTAAATAATTAAAAAGGCAACAAAGCCTGTATGTTCCAAGTTGATTTACTACAGTTAGGAGTGAAATAAACATAAGGATGCATAAAACATTAAAGATATTTTACAGTGTTATGTTCTAGATGCTATGGCGTGTTCTTTTTTGTTTATGTATTCTCTGCCTTCTGTTCTTCTGAGGCATTAGCTGATGCACTTTTGCTTCATTATTGTCTACTGATTCCTCACAGTAATACACAGAAGCACTGCAATGCATTTAAAAAAAAAAAAGAGTTTAAAATAACACACATTACCTGAGCGTAGAAATTGTTCTCCTCATTCATTCTGTGAGTTGCCAGTCCTGGTAATGCAAAAGCAAGTTAATGTTTAGTATGTCTTTAAGTAATAATTTGCATCTATTAAATCTTTAAGGGGCAGATCCACAGCAAGGCCACCTCTGACCACTGGTTCCATCTCTGCTCATGCAATAATTGTTTCTTTCATTTTGTTTTCTAGTTCTCGGGTTGCTCTGCACTAGGATCCAACTTCTTTTAGCTGTTAGTGGTAGCTCACTCAGATAAACTTTTTTTTTAAATAAAAAGGATAAAATTTTTTAATATAAAGAAATATTTCTACCAATTTTAATGCATGATTACCATTTATTTGCTGCAATTAACATATTGAAAAACTACAATAAAATGTGCCATATGCAAAAGTTTGCATACCTATTCAGTCAATCCACAATTTTTTTTTTTTAGTTTTGTTAATGTCTCAGAGCTCAATTGACTCATTACACCTTAATCCAAGTCAGGCCAGCCAGACAATTCCAGCATGTAATAAATTATGTGACCCTTCAAACCTCTCAAGGTGTTGTGTCTACACTCAACAGCCATGGACTCATCTAAGCGATTAACTTAGACAGATCAGAAAAAATATTTAAAGTAAGAAAAAAGTTAAAAGTAAGAAAAAAGTTTAAAGTAAGAGAAGACTATACAAGGTGTATAAACACTCCCTGCATGAAATGTTCACTGCTAATAATGTCAAATGTCACCAAGAAAATGATCTGAAAAAAAATTTGTGCACTAGTTAAGTATGTAAAGCAAAACCCTGAAATAACTCCACATCACTCTCAAGGACCTAAAGGAAGCTTTGGCTGGCAATGTAAAAGTGGTGCACTGTATGGAAGCATGTCAGTAGAAAAATTAAAATGAAAATATAAAACATAAAATGGCAATGCATCCTTATGTATTTCTAATTTCCCATTCATATACGCACTTTTGAGTTCAAAATGAAAATGTAAATTTAAATTTAAAAGTTTTACCATTTTAATTTACCATTTGGTATACTATTGTTGATATTTCAATTAAACAGACTTAGACAATGTAGTTTTATTTAAAGAAATGTATTTTCAGAATTGCATAGTTAGGCTTTATGCTATTAGGCAATAATGGGGTCAAAATAACAATTAGCATTTACTTTATATACATTTTCTATCTGTAATATTGCATTTGAAATTGCATTATCAAACAGAACACCAAGCTAAAACAATGTTCAAGTGTAAAAAGTAAAACAGCATGTCTCCCCTTTGCATGTACATGTTCTCACCTCCTGCACTCCTTCTGCGGCAAAACAAATTTGAAAATACATTCAGCCCAAGTGTATTTTCATTTTCATTAACTTTTACTTGTCAATCAGGACAGGGCCAGCAGCAAACTTAGCAGACAAACCTCGGAGGCTGATCTTTCATTGGAAGATGGGGTGAAACAGTGCAATATATCCACT